GCTCAGCTACTTGAGAGCCCAAGCGTCTATACTTAGATCTACTGGTTTGTCAGTTAAAGAAATTTCCAAAAGCTGAAAAAATCTGAACGTTGGGTAGTGAAATGGTCGTCAAGAAATGACGGGTTTGAAGACAAGAAAAGAACGGGAAGACCGAAAATCCTTAATAAGGCAGCTAAAAGAATTCTGAACAAAGCTAAGTACAAAAGGGGAAACTAGACCAGACAGCTTTCACGACGATTAGCAAGCAAAGGCCATGTTGGGGAAAAAACACCATCTGGAGGTTTATGAAAAGCGAAGGTTGGAGACCGCTGAGAAGGCAAAAGAAACCTCTGCTCACAGCCAAGCACAGTGCAGCTCGACTGAAATTTGCTAAGCAGTACAAAAACCTCACTGTGGAAGAATGGGATGAATGTCCCAAATATTTGTTTCAGCTGCCCGATCCAAAAAATGATATTGTTTGGGGTTCTCAGAAAAGCCAAGTTCCTCCAGCATATCAGGTTAAAAAAAGTTCAAAGTGGATCATATGGGGCGGAATGACAGGCCGCGGTCTCACTGGGATACATTTTTTACCCCAAGGACAGACCTTGACTGCTGATTGCTACATCAACAACATATTAGAGAAAGAAGTGAAGACTGTACTTCACCGTAAAAATGTGAATGAAGCAACAGACAAGCGAAAATTGTTCAGCTCCAATCGCCACATGACGTTCGTCCAAGACGGGGCGCCAGCACGCCCAGCCAAGGCCACCCAGGCATGGTGCAAAAAAAACCTGCCAAATTTTATAGAGAAAACATGCCGGCCCAAAATTCCCCAGATATCAAGCCTGTGGAGAATCTTTGGAGCATAATGGATGAAGTTGCCTATGAAGACCCAACTCCTAAAACCATTAAGGATCTGAAAAGACGGCTCAAACAAGCCTGGAAGAAAATCCCGCTCTCCACGCTACATGACTTATCCCATTCCATGCCGCAACGGCTTCGGAACGTGATATTAAACAAAGGAGGGCATGCCGGATATTGACTTTTCGAGTACATGTACTCATTAAAGCAATAAACGTCGTTAAGAACTTTCATGCAGAAGTGTAGCTTCGATCAAGAGTTATGTCGCCTGTAATAAGAGGAAGGAACTTTTGGGACACCCTGTAATAGCTTAAATCTATCGTTTATCGAAATATAGACTGTGATACTTACAACACCTGCAGCGATGAGAGATCTGCAAATACTCCTGGTAGGAGCTTTTTGACCATGTTGTTCCTCAAATTCCTGTAGCAAAATATAGTACATTAATAATTAAATATGGGAAAACTATCACCGCACGTTTATATGTCAGTTTCTTGTTAATAAAAATGTGATAGTTTGTTCCAGCGGAAAATGTCAAGAGAATAATCTAGAGTTCCCGAAATAAGTGTTGTCACAGTTATCCTATCCCCACCGATATTGCTAAGGAATGTATCGACGAGTTATACACCGAATGCAAATATGGCGGACCGCTCGGCCGGCCCGGGTCTAGTTGCGCGAAAGCGAGGCTAGTTAGGCCTCGAGAGTTTTGTTTTGACTGCTCGTCTTAGCGATTGAGTCGATCGATATGGTTTGCATCGAGTTGTTGCATGCCTGAGGGCCACCAAAAAGAAGATTTTCCTGTAGCTGGAATAGCCTTTACTTTCCCGAGATATTTTCACAAAGAAACTTAGGGATTCATGCGATTCGGCGCGGCGATGGGAAGCACTTTACAGCGAAACTGTGCTCGCTCACTTGCTTTAGATGAGAAGACTCACGAAAGTATTTGAATGAAATAATTTTCACAAGAGATGGTGTTGTTCCAAGATGTTTGCATGGTCTGTTATTTATCCAACAAAAAGTAAACATTTTCGAGAACGGGAGCATCCGCGGTCGACCGTAAGATCTTTTAGATTTCACGCTGAAAACAGCTGCATTAAAATATAACAACAACAATAACAATCGCCTGTTAATCCTACAAGCGTGGCCTGTGAAACTATGTAAGAACCAGAAGAAAGCGACATATTTCAAGAGCAGTCCTTAAACAAAATGCGCTGAAAAAACTAACGGAGGAACCGTTGCCAACTGAGAAAGTAAGAAGAAGAAAAAAGGTTCTGGAAGAAAAAGAGCGTACAAGTATTCGAGCATTGTATTTGACCTTGCGCGTCATCTATTTTAGCAACTTCTTGAATGGTTTCGAGATAAACTAACAGCGATTTTCCAAAAATTGCTTCTTTTATGGCACTGCTCAAACTCTTGAACACAGCATCGTGAAGACTGTGAAAAAACATTCGCCCTTGTTGTTTGTCGTTGTGTCCCTGAGAGCGCCTAAAGATTGGTAAGTCGCGACGGCGGATTCACTCGTTCTCGAGGATATTTACCTTTCCTTGGTAAGAAAACGGACAACGCAAACTTGAAGCAGAACCATGAATCTTTCAGTTATTCACGCATTCCAATAGTTTCGTGAGTCTTCTCTTCTGAAGTGAAGCGAGCACACTTTCGTTCTTTTAAAAAATAACTCCGTGATAGTAGAGTGCCTTCATTCGCCGCGCCGAATCGCTTGAATCCATTTCTTTCTTCGTAAAGAACTTTGGCAAAGCGAAGATAATCAACTTTCGTCTCTGCTGGAGTTAAATCTCCTATTTGATGGCTCTTAAGCACGTAACAACTCGGAGGAAACCATATTCATCGACTGAATCGCTAAGACGCGCAATCAAAACAAAACTATCGAGGCCTCACTAGCCTCGCTTTCGCGCAACTAGACCCGGGCCGACCGAGAGATCCGCCATATTTGCATTCGGTGTATTACCAGCTGTTTCTAGCATGGTTAATCTGTCTCTAGACACTGGCCAGTTCCCAGACATCTGGAAGGAGGCTTTAGTGAGGTCAACTAAAAAAGAACTATCGTGCAGTCAGTAACCTCAAATTTATCTCCAAAGTGACCGACAAAGTAGTGGCTCAACAATTATCCCACCACATGTCTTCCTGTCAACTGTATCCTGAGTTTCAGTCAGCATACCGAATGTTCCATAGTACGGAAACGGCTCTGCTACGCTGAGTGCTAATTTGCATAATAGATCATTAAATTGCGGCCTTATCTCTCATCGACCTTGCAAGGATCATATATCTAATGTGTCTTTAGAAGGCTTTTTACAGTCATAGAAATGATTTAGAAATATCAAAACAATCGTTCTTCATTTGGGGAAGTAGAATGTAAGCGAATTTTGCTATAATTTTCCCTGGCTTACTTGAAACTCATAGCACGTTGTCGCGTGTCGGGTTGTGAAAATTGCAACATTTCTGTCCACAACGGAAAGTATCGCGTCGGATTTCAGCCCTGTGACTATAAATATTTCCAAAAAAGTGCTCTTAGGTACCGACTTCGGCCTTCGTTTTCTCGGCTTATATTTAACGAAAATGCTTCATTTTTGGAATTTGAGCTCAGGCTAAGAGTACATTTCAAATAAGCGATTTTATAAGCGTGATCATTTTTTGACTTTTTAGCAGTTCTAATACCTTAAGCTTTTTGTTCCCGGGACAGTTAAAGGTCATGTACTCTGTTTTGCTGGTGTTGATAAGGAGACCCATGCTGGCCCCTGGTTCCACGGTGAGGGACAGTTGCACCTTAGCTCCTTCGATGGGAGGTTCTAAAGGAATATCTCGTCGGCATTGTCAGGGTCATTTACGAGCTGTGCTTGATGGCTGGTTGACCTCTTGGATGGGTCAACAGGCCGCTATTATCACCTTTAGACAACAATGAGGAGAAATGGGGCGAGCATGCTCCCTTTGAGGACACCGGTGGTTACTTCGAAGCTCTCGGACAAACGGCCATCGACTAAAACAGCAGTTTTTGGAACTATCACCCAGGAATCTGATTGCACTAACGATCGTGATAGGATGACATGATGGCGCAGTGTGGCAAACATAGACTCCTCACCACTACAGTAAAAACCCGCAAGTAACAACTGTAATTTTCGTAATTTTCAGGTTCCTACTCGCGGGTTTCTGCTGTAGTGGTAACTGTTTTGCCTGGAGGCCTTCAATAATTCGTCGGAGAGTGTGAATCTGTTGTGTGCAGCTGCTCCTACGCCTGTAAAAGGTTTGGTTGCGCCCTGGGATTGGATCTACGAAGATTTGAATTTCATTTAGTAAGATCTTATTGTAGACCTTAGGGCAGATAAACACAAGGTTAATCCCACGATAGTTGTTCATCAGGGAGAGGCCCCCCTTCTTTTAGGTGGGGACAATTAGGTTAGTGATCCACTGTTCCAGGAGTATCTTCTTTAAATATACCTCGAAACAGAAGCTGTGAAAAACGCAAACATGGCTTCAACCTCCATTTTCAGGACTTCAGGTGTGATGGGCAGTCTAGTCCAACTGCCTTGTTCAAGTTAAGAGACTTTATCGCCTTTTTTATCTAGTCTAATGTAGGTTAGGCTGTGTTGATTGGGAGAACCGATTCATCTGGCGGTAGTCTAGCAGTATCAATAGCGGTGGTGTTGTTCAGAAGAGTGCTACGGTACTTCTTCCATTCAATGAGAAGTTCTTGGTGACTAATTGGGTCACTCTTGTCCCTCTTTTTGACCCGTTCAGATCCTTCAATCTCTTCCTGGAGGCGGCTGTGTTAAGGAGCAGGTGCTTGCTTTTGGTGTCATTTCGAGCTTTCCGCAAGTCTTCTGTTTCTTTAGAGACCATGTTTAGTACGCTATTAGAAACACACTAGCCAACTACCTCTTCTGCAGTGCTTCTTGTTATACTTTAAAACTGACTGGACCTGATGATGATTAGCTCATCATTTAGGGTGGAGTAAAAGCTGTTCGATAGCTTTAGCAGAAATTCTGATGTCAGCACAGGATTCGGGAGTCTCTTCCAATTGAACTATTTGCGACTTACAGTTTACCTTTTGTAGTTCTAAGACTCACTTTAAAAGTCCCACTTAAGATGCGGTGGTCGGAGTCGAGCTCTACACTATTGTACGTTCTATAATTCCTGACAGAGTTAGTCCTTGGATTGATCAAGTCGAAGGTTAGTTGCAAAGCAGAAATTAACAAGTCTTTCGCCGTTAATGCATGCTGTGAGGACCCACACCTCTCGGAGATTTTTCTTGATTGCCTTAGCCTAGTCTAGCGTTTATATCTCCAAAAACAAGATTAATATATAGATTTAGCCAGGGCTAAAAGCGAAGCTCTCATAAATAAATTTATAATTTAAATCAAACAATAAACTTGTATTCCACAAAACAGTTAACTTAAGGGCACATATGTTACTTTTTAGGGAAAGCTAAGGCTAAGTGATTTTAGAGTGAAAAAAAATCTTACATCGAGTTGTACACCCAAAAAATAGCAATCATCTGCGATCACATTTAAGAGCCATAATGGCTCTTGATCACAGTAGATTAGACCTGGTAAACGAATTCTTGGGAAAACAAAGCAGGCCTAATTTTTTGCTTTTGACAAGTTTATTTAACAAAATCTTGTCAACAAATCTGGGTGCGTGTAAACCAACATTTCATACTTTTTATACATCACATCTGAGGTGAAACAGTCATATGAGGCACTGTTTTTATCATACAGACCTCAGACAAAATGCAGCATTTCACCGTTTTCAAGAAAAATTGCACTCATTCAATATTCAGAACCATCGCATCGAAGAACGCGTGGGCGTCCCGATCGTCCCAGTCGTCTCAAAAATGTTCAGACGATCGGAACGATCATATGGAAACGCTACCCAGACGATCGCAAACGAACCGGACGAGTGAGACGACCTCGATCGCTTGGATAGAGTTGAGTTCTATCCGGTCGATCGGGACGATCACGTAAATTTTGAAGCGATCATTTGGAAAGACTCTCAGACGACTGAGACGATCCGGGACGATCCGGGCGATCATATGGAAACCAGGCTTTAGCAAAACCGTTCAAAAAATTTCCAAAATCACCTACACGGCCAGCCGGTTCTCACTTTTGACAAGCGCCAAATTTTCAGTGAACATTAAAAGAGTTACGCTTCAACATAATACATAATTTGTTGTGTTTATTTTTTATTTAATGGTTTATAACGATGTGTAATCTTAAAAAGCGTTTGATACGCGCGGCCTTTTGAGTACTCCTGCAAGCGATGTTTATGAACGACTGAAAACAAACGGCAAAGCTAAGCGATTAAAATTGCTAGAGACTACTAACAATCAATAAAAGAAATATAATTCGGACAAACATTTACAGAGACAACAATTTTCATTCACGAAGACAAGTATTAAAGCGTCTCTAAAAATCCTGAGTCTTCAAGCTTAGCTTAAAGCTTTTAGCCGGCTTCCCGGTGTTTACTGTTTTCAAAGATGAACTCGAGGTGAGAAAATCACTCAAAGCTTAATTTCTTTCTACAGCCAAAATTATAACTAAATACTCTTCGGAACGTTTTTTCTTTCTATTTGCGGAGATAAAATATCGACCAAGGGCTTTTTAAAGTTCTGTAAGCTCATATCAAACCTCATACCTAGGTCAGATCATTGTCCTCAGATCTTAATACAAACGTGCATAAACTAGCCTCATAAACTGCGCTCGACTTCATGAAATTAGATATAAAAAAACACAAACAAACACATATACAATAATTACTCACGCTTACCATTCGAGATGCAGCTCCTGAAAGCTATCTAGTAAGGCCAGAATCGCTCGAGGGACTGTTCAACCCGCATCCAGCAAGGTGAAAAAACGAATGTCATTCGAAATCGGATTTCCGACTTTGACAAGCGGCGCATTTCTCAACCAAAAATTCAGTAAACAAACCAGCCATGAATAACATGACTGACTGTTGATAGCAGCTGTATTTCATTTTATGCATCCAGTGGAAAAAAGACAGTGACAAACATCACAAGCTGACAAAAAACTCAGTAAGCTTCAGCTGTCAAAGTAAACAAGTTTCAAGATGCTGTATAAATTTTCTGCATGAACTCACCTGTCCAATTTTGACCAATCACAGCATAAAAATTGGACGTAGAGCGTGACCAACGCGTGACTATGGTGAGAAAAGTGAAAAGCCTCTGTCTTCCCTGCTTGTATTTTTAAATGACTGGCTGAATTTTCGCGTCCGAGATCAGTTTGAAATCAAAAGGTTAATAGCGCGGGGCCATAGTGACATTAACACAACACCTTCTGTCATCATATCATTATTTTGCTGCCGTTCTCTTTGCCTTTGTATTTCTCTTTCGCGTTGCCTTTGTCTATTCATTCTAGCTCTGTCTCGTTCTGCTTGCCGGCGTTCTTCTCTACAATTTTCTCTCCTTCCTCTCGCCCTGACTCTTTCTACTTGCCGACTTTCTTCGCTCAAATTTTGTCTTCTTCTACTTCTAACGCGCTCTCTTTGGCGATCGTCTTCGCTTGCTCTACGCGTGTTGACTCTTGCTATCTGCTTAAAACCTGTCATCTACACGCTAAAATCTCTCTGCTGTTATTTGTTGACATAATAGCTTTCGTAAGTTGTAATAAAAAGTTAAAGTTAGGCTCTGTCAAAAAATCTTTTTGCTAAGTTGCTTTGAAATTTCATTTCAAAACCAGTTGCGCGATATAATTGCGCGACGTTGCGCCATGCGATTTCCCGCCAAAAAGTCTCTACTTTCCCCCACCCCAACAGTCCATGCGGACTACTTTCCACTACCCGGAAAGTCCGTACGGACGGACGTACGCTGACGTCATTAACAAAATTTCTCGGATGGATAGTTTACCAAATTATCTTAGTTATGGTGCTCCGCTCGCGCCCGCTTCGCGCGCGCAAGGAGCTCCGCTAATATCGTGACAGTTGACGTTGGCGGATGTATGGGTGTTGAGAGGGTTGTAGAATTCATACTCATCGTCGGTGTTAGCCGACTCTTTTGGAGCTTAGACTATTTTAACCACGAGTCTCGGGTTGCCGTTGAAAAATGCAGAGATGATGCGGTCCGAGAGTTGTTTTGAACCGGAGATCCTTTTGACCAATTGTCTTTTAACAAGGAGTCCCACGCAACCCTTTCGGCATTTGGAAACGGAATTTGGATGAACAGCCAGTTCTTGTCATCAGACCACAGTTCTGTTATCGGATTGAATGAGATAAGGCTATTCTTTTCTACACCAATGACTACAAGAACTGCTTCTACCGCCTGCCTCTACCGCAGCACAACTGATTTAACTTGCCCAGCTGGTATAAGGACCTGACATTATAGGTTGATATGATAATTTGCTTGCTAAGGGAGATTTGGTGAATATCAGCGGCAGCAGACCTCTTCGTTTTCCGTCGCTGCTTTATGTAGTAAGAATAATGATGATTACAACTTCCCTTGACTGAGTTAATATTATTCGGAATGAGTAGCTGCCGACTGTTTCCACTTTGTCCCCTGTCTATGACGATACTTTGATGGTGAGTATGTTTTTGGAGGGTTGGGTACAATTTAAGCCTTTGTTGCTGTATGGTGTCATGTCCCTTGCATGTTGGCCGTTGGTACATGAACGAGCTCATCTGTCACTTAACAGGTCTTATTTTAAGTCCTGGCGAGTGGCATGCTACATTCGTTTCACCAGCGAACGCTGGTGGGAGAGCCACTTTAGATGCCGACTACCCGTCTATGAGGCAGGCGGATATGGGTTACAATGTTACTAGTAGCAGGATTACCCCTGACCTGACTTCCATCATTATACCATGGTACAAGTCTTTCTATGAACGTCTTTGTTACCAGTGGTGCATGATGATCTAGTATCTTGGGTAATGTTCTGTTGTACAAAGTACCCAAATCTTTAAGATAATCAGTACTGTCTCGACTAAGGGCCGAACACATTATGCGAGAATGACTCAGCGTCAGTACTCCTGATTTTCCAAAGGGCTATCTCCTTGACAATAAACGATGGTTTCTCAAATCACAGATCAGAGTGAAGTGACCATAGAAGTGATAATCTACAGTAGGAGTGGTTGATATCAGCTCATTTACATCTCTTGTAATCACTAGATCCAGGATATGGCAGGACACCTGGGCCAGTTTATCAACATGTTGCGGGTTGCAAACCAATGGACTCCAACTAACCCATCAGGCGTGTATGTTTAATATCACTAGGAACAACAATACGAATTTCATAATCACCAGTAATTAACAATGATTCAAGTGACATTATGAATGATTCCAAGTAGGAAGTGAATTCTTCAGAAAATGTGGCTGTTGTAACCGGATCTTTAGAAGAATACGGTATCCTATAAATAATCAAGATCACAAGTTAACAAGATCCACAGTCCACAATCCATTCCCAACACTTTCTCGCCAGCATCTACTTTTTGAAGTCAAGAGAGAGTAATTTATTAATAGTGCTGTTCCACCACTAGTGCGGCCCACGCGAGAGTGGTTCATCATTTTAAACCGAGGAGGTGATTCTTTGATCCGATAACCAATATCATGCTGAGAAAACCAATTCTCAGTCACTGCGAAAATATCCGTTTTCATAGTACATGCATAACACAGAAAATCAGGCGACTTGTTCCTGAGAGATTTTACGTTCGTACAGCATAGTCTAAGCTGATCTCTCCCATTGCACAGACTAGCTGGCATTTGTAGGGGCTGTTTCGGAACAACAACCAAGTTATAAACTCAGTTGACACCCTTAGGGTGCAATGAACTGAGAAAAACCTGATTCAGTGCTAGTTCTATCAAATAAATTAACAGTTCTTATTCTCATACGACCAGTTCTCCTCCCTATATATTTGTAAGATTCCACAGTCCTTTAATGCTTTCAAAGTAGGCATGAACAATTTGAGGTGACATGATACACGTATGTCCAATAAACAGTTACGAGAATCATGCAGATCTCTTCGATCAGCGCAATTCTTTACTCCATACACAGCCTCACTCAATATTTCGTAAATATCCCTAGAGAGTGAGCCAATTAGAGTGCTTAAAACACCAATTTAAGATGACTCAGAGTGTGCATATAGTAAACTGCTATTATCATCATTATCATTATCTTTTTGTATTTTTGGTATTATGACGTAATGTAGTTGAATTGAGTGAATATATTCGTATTTATTTAGTTTCACCACTTTCATTGTCTCGTTAACTGTGGCATTTGACGTTGTTCTACTTAAATAAAAGTGGATGTGCGTAGAGACACAGGTACGCAGACTGTGATACCTACAAGAACTGCAACGAAGAGAGATCTGCAAATACTCCTGGTACGAGCTGTTTGACCATGTTGTCCGACAAATCCCTGTAAGAAAATATAGTAAATTAATTATTAAATATGGGAAAACTATCCGTCCACGTTCATATTTCATTTTCTCTTTTTTAAAAAAATAATGTGATTGGGAAACAGGCTCACAAATTTAATTCAGCTTTCATTATTTTCAGAAAACACAATCAGTTCAGTGACCACACAACAGTTCAATAACCACGCTAGTAGTTCAATGACCACACAAGTAATTCAATGACCACAAAAGTAGTTCACCGAGAATAGACTACATGAAGCTGCGGGGAAAATAGCCACAAATACGTTAGCATTTTAGTATAAATGTGTAGCATTAACTACGTGCTAAATACTCATTCAGCGATGACACAAAAACCAAACTGAAAAATAGCTATGGCACAATGTTATTTAGTTCTAGTGAGCTCCCTAAAGTAAACAGGAATTTAGACTGAGGGCAATTTAAAATTTAAATAGTCTGTTCAGAAGGTCTGTCATTCTCATCAGGGGCACAGTGAAAATAAATAAATAAATAAATTATTATTTGGAGGTAGCAGATCCATAGAGTGGTTCCTCGTCTACCTGAATACTGGTCGAATATGAATTTGGAAATGTTGGTTTTTGAGGAGAGGGGAAAACAGGAGAACCAACAACAAACTCAACCCACATACGGCGTCACCGCCGGGATTTGAACCCGGGCCACATTGGTGGCAGGCGAACGCTCTCACCAATGCGCCATCCCTTGCTTCCCTAAAAACAGACCTGGAAAGGTAACACGGCCCAAAACAAATCGATATACTAAATAACCCGACAAAGCTCGCGCTGCGAAAGTAGAAAAAATAACGGTTAACGGTCGAGGAAACCTTGTTTTTTGACTCTTTTTCCACAAGATTCAAGCTGTGGTACCACAGCTAGCTCTAAGTGCCTAACATCAATCCATGTTTAATAAATAGGTAATCTTTACCGCACAAGTCCAGACCTTCCAAGGTTTCGTTTTTTTTTGGCCGTGTTAACTTTCCTTTTCAGCGCTAACTCTCTTTCCAGGTCTGTTCACTGTGCCCCTGATGCGAATGACAGACCATCTGAGCTGACTATTTAACTTTTAAATTGCCATCAGTCTATGTTCTTTAGTGAGCTCACTAGAACTATATAACATTGTGCCATAGCTATTTCTCAGTTTGGTTTTTGTGTCATCGCTGAATGAGTGTTTACCACTTAGTCTATTCTACACATTTATATTAAAAAAAATCTAACGTATTTGTACGTGGCTATTTTCCCGCAGCTGCATGCAGTCTATTCTCGGTGAACTACTGTTGTGGTGATTGAACTACTAGCTTTGTTCTTGAACTGTTGTGTGGTCACTTAACTGATTGTCTTTTCTGAACTATGCGCACAAAACACATAAAACAAAAAAAATAAAAAAAATCTTTTTCTCAAATACCTATACTTTTATCTGAGCGTGGACACGTGGCGATTATCATGTTTTAATTGGGTGCACACATGACTTGGTTGGCAGTGAGAATACATTTAAGGTGGCTCGATACAGTTTCTTAGGGTGAATACCTCCCACGTTTGAGCGTAAACTATGTCGCCATAAACAAAGATTTGGAAAAATTAACACCACAGTTGTATTAGATAAAGATGAAACTTTGTTATGATCAGGGTTGCAATGACATCGTAGTTGTCATGGCAACGAAATGACGCCATTACCTATTTTACTTGCAGCAGTATATCTCGGCTCTGGGAACTATTCTTCCAATATCGTTTACTAGGGCTTTTTCCTACAATAGTCGCCTCGATGTTCGTGAAGTTTAAGCGAAATCTGTAAGAGCGTTATCGAGATATTTTGGGAAGAAGTTTTTTTGTTTAGAAATACGGTAAAAAATGGACAATCTTGATGTTCGACTGTTATCTGTGCTAAACGAAGCGCTTTTGACATGCAATTTCACCTTATAGTAGTTTCAATCTTTTTAAAAACGTGTGTGAAAGATCATGGAGATACCTCTAGCCGATTGCTAGAAAGAAGGATTTGATTAGTATGTATCGGGGCGCTCTTATTAGAAATATGTAAACATTTCGGTCTACTTCAACAAATTAGCGCATAATTTTTAAACCGCTCGATAAATTTTTTAAAAAATTTAAGAGTCTTAAGATAAACCGTCCTTTTATATGACCTCTTAGTTTCAAGATTATTGATATATTGTAAGGTACTAAAATAAGCGCTTCAATTCGCTAATATTTTTGTCAGAAATTTTGTCTTTACAAGTGAGTCTCTGATTATTCAGGGGTATTGTCTCAAGGTTTCATTTTCACGTGAACAGCAGTAACTAACAATGCACTTGACATATGCTAAAATGCTAGCTATTGTTGTGCACGAAAATATGAATTTTGGAGACAATACCTGTGAATAATGAGAGGCTATCACTTGTAAACACAAAACTCTTGACAAAATATTAGCGAATTGAAGCCCTCATTTTACTGCCTTACAATATATCAATACTCTTGAAACTAAGAGGTCATATAAAAGGACGATTAATCTCAAGATTCGTAAATTTTCTAAAAAATTTATCGAGCGGTTTAAAAATTATTCGCTAATTTGTTAAAGTAGACCGAAATGTTTACATTACTGCTAAAAAGAGCGCCTTGATACATACTAATGAAATCCTTTTTTCTAGCAATCGGCTGGAGGTATCTCCATGATCTTTCACACACGTTTTTAAAAAGATTGAAACTACTATGAGGTGAAATTGCATATCAAAAGCGCTACGTTTAGTACAGATAACAGTCGAACATCAAGATTGTCCATTTTTTACCGTATTTCTAGCCATAAAAACTTCTTCCCAAAATATCTCGATAACGCTCTTACAGATTTCGCTTAAACTTCACGAACATCGAGGCGACTATTGTAGGAAAAAGCTCTAGTAAACGATATTGGAAGAACAGTTCCCAGTGCCGAGATATACTGCCGCAAGTAAAGTAGGTAATGGCGTCATTTCGTTTCCATGACAACTCCGATGTCATTGCAACCCTGATCATAACAAAGTTTCATCTTTATCTAATACAACTGTGGTGTCAATTTTTCCAAATCTTTGTTTATGGCGACGTAGTTTACGCTCAAACTTGGGAGGTATTGACCTTGAAAAACAATATCGAGCCACCTTAAGTGTTCTTCGGAGAAATTGATCCTCATCTGTTGAGTTATGGTCCTGCTCAAAAGGGGCTTCACATCAATGGTAACGATAAAGATTTTCGAACCTTTAAAATGGGAATTTCAGAAGGGGAATAGACGGCTTATCCTAAACATAGTGACTAAAATACGTAATCTTATAATGAAATCTATCACTGCATGGAGAGGTTGATGTAAGTCCAGAAAAGTTGTGTTAATGCAAGAACAGATATTTCTGCGGCATTTCACAGAGGCGCATTTTATGAAAGCGAGCCATCATCCTCCAGAACCCTCAACAAAATTGCTGTAGTGTTCTACCAACTGAGCTATGAAGACACCCATACTTTAGCAGCAAGCCAATTTTTTTACTTCTTTTTTTAATCCGTGAGGGGAATGAAACATGAAATAAAGATAATGTGAACTGTAGAAATACAAGATATGATCGTCACAGTTGTAATAGCATACTAAGCAATTGTAAATTAACCCAAATAAATCTCAGGAGCTGTAATGCGATTCCGCCACTGTTTTGATTGTGGTCTTGAATCCCGATCCAGTTTCTTCGTCAATATGAAATTTAACGGAAAATTAACGTTTGCCTTGGCAGGTGTGGGTGAACGTTATGTTTGATGTTTTTGCACGCAATTGCAATTGCAATTACTGTGTATTGCCATTGTTATTTAGAAAAATATATATCTCCAAGCAATTAATAGTCAGAACCTGTACGTAGCCAAAAATAATGTCTATCGTCTGTGGATGTAATGACATTTGTATTTGCAGCTGTTTGGAACTTACAAAATTTGCAATGAAGAGAGGTCTGCAAAAATTCCATGCGGGATTTCCTCGATCATGCTGTTTGACAATTTCCTACAGCAAACGAAAAATCGTAACCTACATTAATGTGTACATGTCTCCTTATTTTTGGTTTTGAAACAAAAAAAGTATTTATTTTATCAAAAAAACAGTGCATTCTTTTAAATTTTTTAATTCAAACTAAATCAAAATGGTCAATCTGTACAAAACAATAGGCCATTTGCATGATGGCGTCATTTTACTACTATGACAAGGATCCTTCAGGGTTTTGCTTTTTTGTGCAAATTAGGGCCTTTGTTATTTAAACCTTACTGGGGCTACAAAATTTAAATATGAAAAGAAAACCGACAAGAATTCTCGTCGTAGTAGTAAAACGACGCCATCGTGCAAACGGCCTATTCGCAGTATGAAGGCGTTCTATGGACTTGAAAAAGGCCGTAAGGCCCGCGGGGACGGTGCAGCCATTACCATTTCAATCCCTTTTGACAAAGTTAGTCTTTCAATGACTACAAGGAAGCCTGCCAAACATTGTGCTGCACGTTCAGAATTTTTTGTTGTGTTTATTTTCTCTTTTTTGTTGTGGTTGAGTTGAGCTTGGTAGTTGCGCTACAATGGTAAACAATTCTTGATATGCGACGATTTCGCCTGAAAAGCCTATTTCCGCAGGTACCCGTACACAGGCTCAACCCTTGTGTCAAATTGAAAGGAATTTCTGGCAGATATTCTATCATTTGAACTGGACGGTTAATTCGAGACTTCAATAAACTTGGATAGACTAAAAACCTTAAAGAGAATCGGTGTGGAAACTTGCCTACCAAAAGCACGGCTTCGTAGTTTCAGGTCAGCGGTCTCACCTCCCAATGTCTACTGTAATATAGTATGTTTTGTGCTTCGACCTTCTTTCGTGTGTGTTCTGTTTTTTCGGAAAACACTTTATGCTGTTAAGGTGGCTCGATACAGTTTTTCTAGGTCAATACCTCCCAAGTTTGAGCGTAAACATCGTCGCCATAAACAAGGATTTGGAAAAATTGACACCACAGTTGTATTAGATAAAGAAGAAAATTGGTTATAATCAGGGTTGCAATGACATCGGAGTTGTCATAGCAACGAAATGACGCCATTACCTATTTTACTTGCAGCAGTATTTCTCGGCACTGGGAACTGTTCTTCCAAAATCGTTTACTGGAGCTTTTACCTACGATAGCTGCCTCGATGTTCGTGAAGTTTAAGCGAAATCTGTAAGAGCGTTATCGAGATATTCTGGGATGAAGTTTTTCTGGTTAGAAATACGGTAAAAAATTGACAATCTTGATGTTGGACTGTTATCTGTACTAAACGAAGCGCTTTTGACATGAAATTTCACCCCATAGTAGTTTCAATCTTTTTAAAAGCGTGTGTGAAAGATCATGGAGATACCTCCAGCCGATTGCTAGAAAGGAGGATTTGATTAGTATGTATCAAGGCGCTCTTGGTAGCGGTAATGTAAACATTTCAGTCTACTTTAACAAATTAGCGAATAATTTTTAAACCGCTCGATAAATTTTTTAGAAAATTTAAGAGTCTTAAGATTAACCCACCTTTTATATGACCTCTTAGTTTCAAGATTATTGATATATTGTAAGGCAGTAAAATAAGGGCTTGAATTCGCTAACATTTTGTCAGAAATTTTGTGTTTACAAGTGAAAGCCTCTCATTATTCAGGGCTATTGTCTCCAAGTTTCATATTTTCGTGCACAACAATAGCTAGCAGTTTTGCATATGTCAAATGCATTGTTAGTTACTGCTGTTCATGTGAAAATGAAACTTTGAGACAATACCCCTGAATAATAAGAGGCTCTCACTTGTAAAGACAAAATTTCTGACAAAATATTAGCGAATTGTAGCCCTTATTTTACTACCTTACAATATATCAATAATCTTGAAACTAAGAGGTCAAATAAAAGGACGGTTTATCTCAACACTTGTAAATTTTTTCGAAAATTTATTGAGCGGTTTAAAAATTATTCGCTAATTTGTTAAAGTAGACTGAAATGTTTACATTACGGCTAACAAGAGCGCCTTGATACATACTAATCAAATCCTCCTTTCTAGCAATCGGCTGGAGGTATCTCCATGATCTTTCACACACGCTTTTAAAAAGATTGAAACTACTATGGGGTGAAATTTCATGTCAAAAGCGCTTCGTTTAGTACAGATAACAGTCCAACATCAAGATTGTCAATTTTTTACCGTATTTCTAACCAGAAAAACTTCATCCCAGAATATCTCGATAACGCTCTTACAGATTTCGCTTAAACTTCACGAACATCGAGGCAGCTATCGTAGGTAAAAGCTCCAGTAAACGATTTTGGAAGAACAGTTCCCAGTGCCGAGAAATACTGCTGCAAGTAAAATAGGTAATGGCGTCATTTCGTTGCTATGACAACTCCGATCTCATTGTAACCCTGATCATAACAAATTTTCATCTTTATCTAATACAACTGTGGTGTTAATTTTTCCAAATCT